TCAGTCCTCAAGTAACTATGTACCAAGTTTCATTGAAATGTGATCATTACTACTCGAAATATCAAAAGTTGAAAATTAATTAATTATGCAAATTAGGTAATTAATATGTACTGATATTACCCTAAACACTACCAGGTCTGTGCAGTGTCATATGACATCTATGTACCAAGTTTTATTGAAATGTTATGATTAGTACTTGAGATATCAGTGGAAAAGCCGAAAATTGATTAATCATTATGTAAATTAGGTAATTAATAATATTAACAGATTTTTACCCAAAACTATTCAAATCTGCGCATTAGTTCAGAGCATCCATGTGCCAAGTTTCATTGAAATCCAATGAGTGGTTCTTCAAATATTAGTGGAACAGTCATGGAACAGCTTGAAATCAGTTAATTATCATTCAAATTAGATAATTAATATTCATAGATTTTTACCCAAAACTAATCAAATCTGCGCACTAGTTCAGAGCATCCATGTGCCAAGTTTCATCAAAATCCAATGAGTGGTTCTTCAGATATCAGTGGAACAGTCTTGGAAGAGCTAAAAATCAGCTAATTATCATGCAAATTAGGTAATTAATATTCATAGATTTTTACCAAAACCTAATCAACTCTGCGCATTATCCCAGAGCATCTATGTACCAAGTTTCACAAAAATTTGATTAGTGGTTCTTGAGATAACGGTGGAACAAAAAAAGTGACATACATACATACATACATACAGACAGACATACATACAGACATACAGACATACAGACAGGGTAACTGCAAAGACTCCCTTTTGTGCTTCGCACACGGGAGTCAAAAACTACCAGCTGCCCCTAAATGAATAAACTATTTCTTTTTTTTAATTCTTTTCAATTTTAGCGCTTCCAATTTGTTACTTTCCCAGTTTAATTTTTTTTTTCTGAGTCAATATTCAAATAAGGATACGATTATGCAATAAAGATTATTATATTATTATTACAAATTAACGGCACTGCTATGTGATAGCATATCCTACATGGTGACTACCGCATAGTTTTGTATCACTGCTCAGGCTATTCAGCAAATAACCAATATTTCTTGGCAGAGAACAAGCTATAACCACTCACCAACATCATTTTATGAAGGTCCGCCATCTCTGGTACATCACCTTTACAAAGTATGATAACAGTTCCGATTGTATCAAGTCCTCTCCTTCCGGCACGTCCTGCCATCTGAATGTATTCACCTGGAAGTAAATCACGGAACGCTGTCCCATCATGTTTCCTGATGTTATCAAAGACTACTGTTCTAGCTGGCATGTTCACACCCATTGCAAATGTCTCTGTAGCAAACAGTAACTGTAGAAATAAATTATTTTACGGCTTTATTCACATTCAATGATATGTAAGAAGGACTAAGTTGCAAACACATGCTGTAAACTACTTTTAATAATTTCATGCATGGGCAGTATAGAATTATGAAATTAAGTAGCAGTGAACACAATACAATCCTGAAATTTTAACGTTTTAGCTGTCAAAACTATTAAAACACTTTACAGTGATTAGATTACAATTACCGGTATACATTGACAATATGAATATTAATTAGCTCATGAATATTAATGAACGACCAGCACTCCCAAAGAGCTGGATAGATCCCTGCATTGTATATATACAAACCAGTCAAACATGTATGTAGATTGATGCTTCACCAGTGCATCTATGTATCTGACCAAACAAATGATTGTTTCATGTTCGGTTTCTCATTGAATCATCAACCACTCAGAACTTGTGTTACAGGCATTATAAAGGCATGCTCTAATTTGCTAGTGATTTGTTGCTCTTGGTTTGAATCACATGATCACTCTTATTTGAAGTCAATCATATGACATTTTTGGTATTGAAACAACATACATGAAATTGCATAAGCCAAACAGACCTACTGTAAAATCTGTATTGGAAACCGTGGCTTCTATTGAAATGGTACAATGCAACAGAGTGGATGCGGCTTCTATTAGAGCATCTACACATATGAGAAATGATGAATTTTTAGTTTTCAATTATTCAAAAATATTGGATACGACTTCTATTAGAGATGTGGCTTATAATACAGATTTTACGGTACATTTAACATTCAAACTGAAAAAGCAGAAATCCTAAATCTATCACGAGAAAAATAAAATGAACAAAGTGTTTCAATAAGTACGAATGTCATACCTTGACTAGTCCTCTTTGGAATAACATTTCAATAACTTCTTTCAAGATTGGTAGTATACCACTGTGATGGACTCCCACTCCTCGCTTTAATAACTCCTGCATATGACGTACCTGTAAATAAATTTCCCATTGTCTATGTATGGTCATATCAACTGTGTTGTAAATTTACCGTCACCTAATGCATCATTGGTGTCGATATGTACAACTTTGGGCACAATGACAAATAGGTGATTTTCTGTACTTGTATGAGATTTTGTATTACGCTTGGAATGAACTGCAATCTGGTGATTTTTTTTTGAAGTTGAATTACTTCTTTTTTACTTCAATGTCAAAACATCTCTCTTTCAAAAGAGAATATGATGTTAAAATACCCCTACTTCACCAAAATTAACCATAATAAAATGTGCATAGGACATTATTAAACATGAAAATATCCCCAAAAATTTGGGCAAGCAGTTTTTATTCATATGAACACAGATTACAATTACTTTTTACAGACAAAACACAATGTTTGTGTGAAAGTGCTACAAAGTGATATTAGGCATGATTGACAATATCTGATTCTTGTAACTTAATTAAAGACACTAGAGAAATTAGTGATGAACAACTGGGGCATACATCAATGCTATGTCTTTTAGCATGCCACTATGAAAATATCTGTGCAAGAAGTCCTCAACAACCATATTACATATAACCCCTTCGTAAAAACATGTTCTATACAATGTTCACAACATGTGTTCAAATTCTTGGAGATATCAAAAAGACCACAGTTGCCCATTACAGGGTTCTCCACTGTGTTTACTTTAACTCACTTGAGGTAATTGCCTGTCCGTTCCCTTTAGTCTCTGTACACACTTCTGTATAAATATATGAATATCATTCTTTTCACTAGATGTAGTGAGATCTAAACTGGTCAGCTGACTTGCATTCTCATCACATTTCCTCTTGGAGAATGTAAATGCCACCACAGGTAACCCATCTGATTTGCGTAGCATTTCAATCAGTGACAACCATACATTCTTCTCCTATGAACAAATCAATACATCAGCATAATGATTCAGCATTCTTATCTCAAATTTGTAGTTCAAAATGACAACATGATTTGTTGGCTTGGTGTTTGTTTAAATCTCTTTAAAACATTATTTTTTCTCAATAGACAATTACAGATTAAAACAATTGCATCTGTATTAGGTACCTGTTTTGGGTCTCCACGACGTACACCTTTAGCACCAAAACCACTTTTAGCCTTACTTTCTCGTTCTTTTTTAGCATTAACTGCTTTCTGATACCTAAAAACACAAGATTTTGAAATATTTTGAGAATTGAATTAACTGGCTTTGATAAGTCTTGCAATTTCATTTGAACTGATGTTGGCACTGAATATCACTTGCTCTCAGGTAAAACTGATACATGTAACATCAGGGTACTACCGGTGTTGTAGTACAGACCATGATGCAACATCACAACATACTCTAAAGGTTACAGGCCATCAATATTGCTACAGTCTTACATGTACAAGTTTGTACATAAAAATAGCACTGTCAATAAAATAAATGTTACTTACCCAGTTGTGAGAAATGTTCTATTAGCATCAACCAGGAGGAATTTTTCATTGCTAGTTTTGCTACTGTTGCCGGTATACAAGAAGTGCTCTAGTGGCACTGGTCTCTTTAAAGTACTTATAACAAAAATCTGCTTTTGTTTTGTGCGACTAGAAAGAAAAAAAATTCATGTACATCAGAAAATCGGGCTCAGAGAATATGAAAATTGCCAGTATGCTGTGAAAAAGTTACAAATTTATAAAGAATTACTTAGTTCACTTAACCAATTGATATTTAACTCACCCAATCCAGTCAGCAAATTCCATAGTATTCGGTACAGTAGCACTAAGCAGTATTAACTTGACATGGTTCGGTAACATGATTAATACCTCCTCCCACACCACTCCTCTCTGTGATACAAAAACACAAAACCATAAATACAACTTTTCTATGAAAAAATAGTTTTCATATTTATTCATCAGTGAATACAAAAATATTTTATAAATTTAAACAATACTGATTTGAATAATAAATCTGTATTTTTAAAAAAAAGTTAAAAAGTGGATGTATCATCTTGATACTAACAAACTTAGGGTTCTCTCGTTGGTACAGTTACCACTTTGGATCACCAAGAATATACAGTTTTATGCAAAGATCTTAAGTTAGCGGTGACACGTACAACTGCTTCAGTTGTATTATAGTCACAAAGGCTACCTTTTTTTATGTTTACTAAAAATTCATAAAATAAGTCAAATGCATTTTATTTTTATTCATGACTGGTGAGGCAGGACAAAATATGATTCAAAGTACTCAACTTTTTACAGCTGAGTGAGTAATCGATGTGAGGGATCAAACCCTCAGCAACCCTTATGAGAGATGAACACACTAAACATTGAGGAATGCCATTGTCATATTAAACATCAAATTAAGTTTAATGCATGCCACCTAGTATATAGTACATGAATATGTAACACCTAAAGTATAAAGACTGAATCTTGCTTCAATTTGATTATATTACCTCAGCATCATTGATATAATGGACTTCGTCAAAAATGACCCACTCCAGATCTCGTATCACATCTGAACCATTATATAACATAGACCTGAAATGAAAGTGCTGACAAGGTAAAACTCATCTTATCTGACAAACATATTAGTGGTAGAATATAATAGAGTGCACAGCTCCAGATCCAACAGGTCTTGGAGGCTTACTTTCAATAGCTCTTTTGAAATGTTAGCCCATGCTAAAAAAATGTGTGTGAATGCTTGGCATAGGCTACGTAATGGTAAGTACAAACTAAATCTGAACCATTTTAAGACCCGGTCTAGACCCTTAGCATAGGCTAGCAAACACTTAGCTCGAACTGAGTGCCCTGAACGCCACTGTATCCAATTTCCATTTGAAAGATTTACTATAATATTCATAGCTACAAGTATTCATTTTTAGTATGCCAATTCTGACATAACAATTAACAGGATCACACCTAGGAACATTGTTCTTGAGAAAAAAAAAAGTTAACTAACAATGTACCGTTACTACTTCCTGTAATTCTGCAAGTAAGTTTATATTCTTATATGAAAGTATGTTTACCTTAAAATCTCTGTCGTCATGATGAGACATGAAGCCTCAGAACGTATCTGCACATCACCTGTCAAAAGACCGACATCTCCAAATGTATTCTTGAAATCACGAAACTTTTGATTGGATAACGCTTTTATTGGTGAAGTATAAACAGTTCTGGACAGATATTGTGAAAAATAACATAAAGAGATATGGTTTAATATACAAGTTACTGTGCAACTTTGTGAGGTTTCTACAGAAGCAACTTTGCCATTACCAGCCTAGAAAGTCTAACTATCTTAGACCCATACAGATACCTTTGTCAAGTTTCCCATGTGATAGTTCATTAAATTCAGATTAAACCTGACATAGGTTAAAACTATTTTTTGAATGAGCTGATGTTTGTAGACCTATATGGCTAACCTCTTTTAAGATCCTATACAAACTATTAACAGTACTGAGATGATCGTTTCATCTTTTGGAAAAAAACAGACTGGGCTGGAAAATTGGTCAATGTATGTCACTCACATCACATCACTCACATTAGTTGTGTGAAGTATTATTTCTGTTTTTGTTTTACAACCATAAAATTACTCTCTGTAGTAGATTTTCGTGTTGAATAAAATTATTATTACATCACAGGCATGAATATATTTTTTAACATATCTGAAGAGAGACGATTATTGGCTGTAAAATGCTATTCATATTAAACCCATGATGGAGTTTACCCAATATACAGCACAGTGCATTGTGAATACCTTGTCATGTGTTTCTCAGCCAGTGCTATTGCATATTCTGCAACTACAGTTTTACCGGCTGATGTATGGGCAGCAACAAACACACTTTCATGGTTCTCCAGGCGTAAGATAGCTTGCTTCTGAAACACATCCAATTCAAATGGCCACTACACAAATAACAATAAATGCATGTCAGTGAAGTGTTTAAATACTGTGAAACACTTTGAAATACCTACATGTTATTTTAGCAAATTTGACTCAATGCATGTATTAACGGAATCTAAATTTAGTAAAAGTGCCAACAATTTTATTATGAGAATATACTTTCTTTTAAATAAGGTACATCTTAGGAAAATTACAAATTCGCTAAGCTGGCCAAATCAACATGCTAGCTTAAAAGACATGTTTTGCTTTTTATACAATGACATTTGTGTCAGCTTAACTTGATCTAAAACTAGGCTATGAGTGAGTTGCATGATTGATTTTTGGCCTACCCAAGGTATTGGAAAATCTGTATTAAAAGCCGCGGCTTCTATTAAAATGGTACAATGCAACAGAGGGGATGCAGCATTGATTAGAGCATCTACACATATGAGAAATGGTGAATTTTTGGGTCTGAATTGTTCAAAAAGAAATATTCTATTAGGGATGCATCTTATAATACTGATTTTATGCTACTGGATGTCAAATCTTGTAAGGAACATATACATACAATGTACTTTATTGAATCAGAAAACAGAATCTTGAATATTTAATCAAATAATAAAGTTCTAAGATATGTGAAGAGTCTGAAAAACATTTTCACAAATCAAACATCGTGAAATAAAAAAAATGTTGAAAAGAAAATGTCTACCAAAGAGCCATTTTTATTACATTGTAAAACAAAATAATATACACATATAACCATTATTGTATTTTCTATCAAACCCATCAATTAACTAGTGGAGACTACTAACATTTTAATTACATAAGTGTAAACCGAACTTGAACTTGAATACGACTAATTTCAATCATTCAAATCGTCATATAAGTGGGCACATGCCATTTTATATGACAAAAGCCATGACATAATAAAAGTTGTGAACAGTGTCACAGAAGGTGTCCAAGTTTTACCAAATGTTAAACGATTATCCATCAAACTATACACATTTCAGATCAGCGTGGTTGGCATTTCTGAATTGAAAGATTTGTTAACATTTTAGCCATTTTTTGGAAAAGTAACATGACACGCTATATTCTTTATTTGTGATATTTTTAGAGAATGTATCATTGATGCTACAGCAATAAATTTTACATCACTAAGACCCCTAGGAGAATTATAAATAGAATACTTCTAGATTTTCTTACATCCAGTATGGTTGCCGAACCACAATTTTGAATGTCAGGTGTACCAGCTGATATTATCTTCTCTCACCAAAGAAAATTCTACTTTATTTTGTTTAGTGGTTCTCTCAAATGAGGTGTCAAAAAAAAAAACAGTCAAAGGCAAAAATCTGAATAGCAAAATACACATACCTGATATGCAGGATGAGGAATTTTTTTATGGAAGTCAGCTACAGGGGTTGATATATCTACATTAATAGCCCATTGCTGTTCAATAACTTTAGGTTCAGGTTTCACGTCAGCGTCTCTCGTACTTGGATCTGACCCACTCTGGTAAAATTAAAATAACATACGCATGAATACAGCAAATAATTTCATGTACTGGTATATATTACGTGGCATAGATGCTTCCGGAGCAGTTTTTAAATAATGATATGGAGATGATTAATGTACTAAAGACAAACAATCAAATTTACTCACCTCAACCAGGATATTCTCCAAGCTTTCACTTCTTTGTAATTCTGAGTTGTCACCTAACTCTGTTTTCTTATCAATTTCTTCATCTTCCTCATTATCATCATCACTAAATGTTATCTCCTCAATTCCAGACATGATATCTGAAAGGGTGAGCCGCTCACCAACTCGTGTTTGTTCATTTTCTGTTGGTTCTTCAGTTTCTGCATCAGGATTCTTCGTTTCAAATGACATCCCATTCTGGAAACCAGGTGGAATCGTTTCTAGATCTAAAAAAACATTGTGTTTTCAGTAAATCACCTTGCTTAGATTTTGCATACCAACCTTGAATGGACCAAATAGACGTAGTTTCACATTGCTATCACCATATATACATGCACATGTTAAAATGTAAACAATGGTATCCCAAAATTCATTGAAGCCATCCCTGGAATTGGTGAGAGCCACTTCAATGCAAATGCTATTAATCCCTGAAACTGTACCACGTGACACCTTTGTGTATTACACTCTTAATTTATCCTATTGTAATTTGTGGTGCGACTTGTAACAAGATTCTCTTTAAGAAGCTATATTAAGCAAATTATAAACTAAGAAGAATCTTACTCACCATCTTGCCAATCGATGTTGTCACCAGTCACGGACGTTATTGTTTCCAAAGATGGTTCATCCATACCACCTATAGATATAACAAACAAGAGTAGAGCATACAATACTTTAAAAGAAGAAAGTTTAGAAAAAACGACCATGAATTCTTGTCTTGAAGTACCCAGTGAAATCACCCCTGCTATGATATTTAGTGATTTTTTTGCCAGCACTAAATTCATGAAAATTTTTCTCTTATGAGTTATAAGTTTTACTACCCGGTAGTATCATACATATAAAACCATAGAAGCTATTAAAAAATTCCTGTACAGGCATGTTTGAATTGTTATAATCACTTTCAAGACTGTTATTGACAACTTTCATATAACCTTCCTATACATACATATATATGTGTACATACGTTAATTCGAGCAGTCCTGAGAAAAGAATGACAAAACATTCTTGTAATGAGCATATGCTCAGTATCAAGGAAACCACTTGAAATTCATCTATTCAAGGAAGACGTTGTTCAATAATGAATTCACATACCCGGCCAGAATGGGAAATTTGTGGAACTCCCCCTGACAGCTTCAGACAATGGTCCAGGAGCTCTTGACAGCGAAGTAGAATTCTTTGATGACATGTTGCTACCAGATACATCAACCTTAAGAGAAAAAAAAAAGTAAAAAAATATTATGCTTGCTCCAATAAAAGTGCATATAACTGCCCAGCATCGACACAAGTTCCTGTCACTTGCACAATTTTGCATGTGTAAACCTCACAACAATATATTTTGAATGCATTTTTTGGGAGGCTACTGATTTGAGCCTGCAATCTCCCTGATGCAGCTAAATATCAAGTTATACATTTATCCATAACTTAATATTTCTCATCAAATATTAAACAATAATCGTGTTTAATTTACCTCTTCATATCCAAGTAATTTCCCAGTTGTTGGGTTTCTTTGGACTTGAAGTGTGGTTTGTACTGGACAGCTATCCATATGGTAGAGACGTTCTAAGCATGGCTCTCTCGGAAAAAATCTATGTATTAATAAAGATACATTATGATTATATAAAACAAGAGTTTACTAGCTGGCCATCAACATTATGTTTAAACTAGAATATGCATAAAATATGGTACTTGTAGTGTGGGATTATGGGATACTAATTGTCTGCTTTGTTCAATTTTCTTTTGATATACATGTATCATCTCCTATGAAGGTCCTAACAAGTTAGATCAATGATGAAACACTGCTTCAATCAATCTGAATCAGTGTTCAGGTTGGAAATTTCAAAAGTTACCTGAGTTTGAGTGGTTCTGTGCAGAAGATGTGAAAAACTGAATATAAGAAGTGAATGATTGCTTTACTGACAATTTTACTTACTTTTGAGAATGTATAATATCTTCTGGACATGATAAATAATGCTCTAATTCTGTATTAATATCATTTAAAACTGGGGGTAATCCTTGAGGTACCTTAGTGAAGAATATAGGAGAATAAAAACACACTACTAGTATAGTGGCAACGACAACAGTCAAAGATACAGATGTACATGTATACATGTACTGAGTTCTTTTGGAAAATCTCTTGTGAGGCATTTCTGATGACAAATTTGAGGCATGTCCGTAACAAATTTGAGATGCCTGTTTCAAGGCCATGATAAAAACACTTTTACGAAGATAAACAATTTTTTTCTTTAAAATTTCTTTTCTTTTAAGTGTAGCTTTTGTATTTTTACTCCTATAGTAGCGTGTGCACTTAATTAAGACTCAAGGCAATCTACCGGTAAGTTGTATTTGAATTATTCATCTAGCATACAATAAATATAATTTTCATTCATATTCATGAATAAAATAATGAATTGAAGAATATTATAGAATATTGTATGTGCTTTCAGGATAGTATCTTACCGTTGAAAGCAGTAAATTTGGTTTCTTTGTACTTTCAGGTACAACAATTACATTTCCAGCTGTACCCACTTCTAATAATGAAAACTGTATACCATTCGGGTCATTGGGTGGAAGACCTACAAAAAAACATCAATGATACTTGTGCTTATAAATGCAGTTGATACAAAAGTGGGAGGAAATCACTATCGTGGGAGGGGAGAAGATCTGTAAACTAACTTTTCCTGAGCCACACAGATTCAAAATTTTAATATAAATTGTCCACAAAAACTACAAAGCGTCCACAAAAAAAAGACACTTCTATTTGACCTTTACAGAAAAACTTTGACACATTCTGGGAAAAATCAAAATTAAGAGAAATATTTTTATAAATTTCCTCATTATGTATTCATAAATATCTTAGACAAAAATAGGAAAAATTAAAAATGTTGTAACTCATCAAAAATTTGAACAGAAGTGATGACAATCAAAAGGTCAAAACTCACAGATTTCATTTTCAATTCGATCTGAAAGTATGCGCCTGTGTATTCAGCACTAGAATGATATTACGAAAACACACAAAGCAGGCAGGTTAATTTTAGAATGAGGACAAACAAGTGTCAATAAATTACCAGCAAGGTCTGTTGAGGCATGCATCCTATGGGCATAATCCCCAATTCACACCTACAACAATAGGCGCTGCTAGTCTGTTCTATAGTCGTCTGAGGCAACTTTCAGGCAATGTTGCAGTTATTGTTTACAAAACAATATTTCAGTGATAATAATGTGTGTGTTTGATTTATTAACTTGCTAAATATAATTTTTATATATTCTTAAAATTTGCCTCATAAGTACCAGTCACATCTGCACACTCACATCTGATATCCCAATGTGTGTCATTTATTGGACGATATCCCAATGTGTGTCATTTAATGGGCGATATCCCAATGTGTGTCATTTAATGGGCGATATCCCAATGTGTCATTTAATGGGCGATATCCCAATGTGTGTCATTTAATGGGCGATATCCCAATGTGTGTCATTTAATGGGTGATATCCCAATATGTGTCATTTAATGGATGATATCCCAATGTTTGTCATTTAATGGGTGATATCCCAATGTGTGTCATTTAATGGACGATATCCTAATATGTGTCATTTAATGGACGATATCCCAATGTGTCATTTAATGGGTGATATCCTAATGTGTGTCATTTAATGGACGATATCCTAATGTGTGTCATTTAATGGACGATATCCCAATGTGTGTCATTTAATGGGTTATATCCCAATGTGTGTAATTTAATGGATGATATCCCAATGTTTGTCATTTAATGGATGATATCCCAATGTGTGTCATTTAATGGACGATATCCCAATGTGTGTCATTTAATGGGTTATATCCCAATGTGTGTCATTTAATGGATGATATCCCAATGTTTGTCATTTAATGGATGATATCCCAATGTGTGTCATTTAATGGGTGATATCCCAATATGTCATTTAATGGGTGATATCCCAATGTAGGTCATTTAATGGGTGATATCCCAATGTTTGTCATTTAATGGGTGATATCCCAATGTGTGTCATTTAATGGACGATATCCTAATATGTGTCATTTAATGGACGATATCCCAATGTGTCATTTAATGGTGATATCCCAATGTTTGTCATTTAATGGATGATATCCCAATGTGTGTCATTTAATGGGTGATATCCCAATGTGTGTCATTTAATGGGTGATATCCTAATGTATGTCATTTAATGGACGATATCCCAATGTGTGTCATTTAATGGGTGATATCCCAATGTGTGTCATTTAATGGGTGATATCCTAATGTGTGTCATTTAATGGACGATATCCTAATATGTGTCATTTAATGGACGATATCCCAATGTGTGTCATTTAATGGGTTATATCCCAATGTGTGTCATTTAATGGATGATATCCCAATGTTTGTCATTTAATGGATGATATCCCAATGTGTGTCATTTAATGGGTGATATCCCAATATGTGTCATTTAATGGGTAATATCCCAATGTATGTCATTTAATGGGTGATATCCCAATGTGTGTCATTTAATGGGTGATATCCTAATGTGTGTCATTTAATGGACTATATCCTAATATGTGTCATTTAATGGACGATATCCCAATGTGTGTCATTTATTGGACGATATCCCAATGTGTGTCATTTAATGGGTGATATCCCAATGTGTGTCATTTAATGGGTGATATCCTAATATGTGTCATTTAATGGACGATATCCCAATATGTGTCATTTAATGGATGATATACCAATGTGTGTCATTTAATGGGTGATATCCCAATATGTGTCATTTAATGGGTGATATCCCAATGTGTGTCATTTAATGGGTGATATCCCAATGTGTCATTTAATGGGCGATATCCCACAAACAGAAAGATGGCAAAGTAGTTTTGCAACTTTCTCTTTTTTTCTCTACACTCCAGACACACACACCAACTGCCTGTTACACCGCTGCAGTGCAAATGATGGTTCTTTTTCTACTGTACATATCGCTGTAGTGTAAATATAACTGACACCGCTGCAGTGCAAATAATGAATCTTTTTTCTACTATATGTATCGCTGTGGTGTAAATATAATTTTAATTGATCTATTTCTGTTATATCCATCATGGATGGTGGGTCTATAAGAAGCATTAATTCATACATGTAAATCATTCAGTTTCTCATTTCTGAATTTCCATAGGTGGGTGAGAAAGTTTCGAATTTCGTTTGATGTATTATTTCTCAAATCCTTATTGATTGCCCATAAAGCATCACTGAAGAAAAAATTAAATTTGAAATTAATTCCTCCTGAGAAAAATCTATGTACAATAGTTGGTTCTCCACCACTTTCCACTATTGTATTAGACAGTGCTGAATAGAATTTACTTCTCAAGTGGTTAGTTGATTTGCAAAGAAATAAAAAGTGATAAACATCCTTTTTTCTATCATTACAAAGCTTACATACCCCGTCACCTTTATAATTTTCCCATCCTGTTTTATTCCCTTCCAAGTCTATTGCGTTTGACCTCACCTTAAAGAGGAGTGAGATGCCATGATGATCAAGGGGATCCTTTATATAATTTTCCTTTTTATTGTTGTGTTTAATCCAACCATAGTGCTTTATTTCATTTTCTTCACTAATTTTATAAAAACTTTTAATCCAACTATTATTCTGTGGTTTTTTTAGGCCATAAACATGATCCATACCATTTTGAATTAGAATATTATTGATATATTTTGGCCAGTTCCAAGCAAGTTTAGCCTTGTTCTGATATGATTCATGTAGATTAGAGAAAACTATTTTGGTCCATCTGGTATCATTCATCTTTTGTAATCTGTCCAAATACTATATTTTGTAATCTGGCCAAATACTGTAATCATGATTTATCGTGAATAAAGTTGATGTCTTGCCATCCTAAATCTCCCAATATTGCTGGGCATGCTACATTCCTATTAACTTTAAAGAAAAACTTGCCAAATTGATACTGGATGCTTTTTAATTTTGTTTTTAGTCACTGCAGCACAAATTGTTTATGTATTTCTGTTACACATACCATTGTGATGCGAATAGTAACAGTCCCTCTATAGAGTCTATAGATGGACTGTGAAATAGTGAATCTATTTCTGCTATATGCAGTGCTGTCATTATGTTATTATTTATCCTAGTTCAGATTGCAATTTTAGTTTTACTTAAAATTTTCATTAACAAAGCGTAGTTTAATCTGTGTATGTTGAATGTTTATTAATATTGAATGAAAGTTCATCGCCCGATTCTACCCACGTGACTACGTCTGGCCTTGTACTAAAAAACCCAAGGGGACTGACTGCACATTGAGCTTATAGAGATGTGAAAGACACAATCATCGTTTGCAGATAGCCTCAGTTAACTATATGCGTGCAATACATTTTCTTGCCATACTCTGTAATGTCAAAGGACCTCTCACAATGTGTTCAATCGTCACAGACTATTTAATTTCTACTGCGTCACATTATAAGAAAAAATACCTTGTTTCTGTTCTTCGAGCAGCTTCAACTGGGCCGCCATTTTGAAAACTATTTCTTACTATTGGGGGCGCTGTTTTCGCAAGTGTTATACAGCCAACTGTTATTTGCAAACTCGATTCATTGTTCATTTTTTGTTATTTGCATATTCAATAGAGTACCTGAATTGAAATGATCAATTATCGCAACACCTAATTGGTGTAAATACGATCAAGCTCGAGATACACTGGAGTAAACGTTTACCAAACAAATTATCGTGTTGCTTAATGACGTCATTCCTTACGTGAAATTTCGAAGCAGGAAGTGAACTTTGCATCTAATCGTCAAAATTTAGGTCAGTTTATCGCAAAACGTTCTACACTCCTTCGCGTGTGTGTTGTTAAAATTCCAGGGACATAGCTGTAAGCTGTAAAATACGTTTTGTGAGCAGTATCTGAAGGGAAACACTGTCTGGAGCTCCGTTTATATTCAGTGTTATTTTATTTTTGTTTACCTGACAGCGCGACCTAATTCCAGAAGATCACAAGACGCGATAACATAGTCGT